ACAAAAAGCAACAACCACGAAGTGAGGCGAGGAGGAACCCCGAAGAACACCGCCAAGCGGACAACCGCAGCAAAGCGACAGAGACGGAGACTGTGGGTAAACGGAAGAATCGAACAAGGAGGATTAAGACAAGGGAACAAGCGAATCAACAAATGCGAGAAGAACGAGAATTCAAACATGTTATCTGTCCTCAGAAGGCAGAACAGCAATCCCCGGGATAAGCACAAGCTTCCTCAAAAAGCAACAAAGAAGAAGATGGATCAAACACGTCGACTTTATTGCCGAGAAGTTCGACATTATGGAATGGTGGGAGGACACCGGCAAAGAAGAATTCACACTGCTGTATCCTATTGCATGCATCATCCTTGCCTTGCCCGAAAGTAATGGGGATCAGTAAAGAACTTTCAGTGGCGCCACGTGGATGGTTGGAAAGCTCAACTCCAAGCAAACAGACATCACGTTTCAGATGAAGGTTCTCACCTACAAGAATCGTGCCTTCCTCCGCCAACACCGTCCCCTTGGAGCGTTGCAAGGAAGCGGGTGGCCGAGAACCGCACAAAGAGACTCATCAGAGAACATGTGAAGAAATTGACCCATGCAGAGGAGGAGGGCAACGAGCCTGAAGATATCAACCAGGAAATGCTGGACGAGTTGGAGAATTACGCCAATGAAGATGCTGCTAATGCAGCCTTCATTGATGCCAATGCATAAGGTGTAGCAATTGGGATTGAACATGGGACGGGAGCAAACAACACACAATTCCTCGCGGGCATATTCAATTCCCTTGCAAACCACGATATAACCAATTGGTATAGCCAGTACATCAACTATAAAAATAACACCTAAAACCAATGCCAAATACCATAACATAACCATACCATACTTTAGCTTGAGTGGTTATATAACCAATAATAACCAATAACCAGTAACCAGTACCCCCAATTGAGTGGTTGAATAACCAATAACCAGTAACCAGTACATAATTGATTGGTTAGCGAACCCTGAGCTAAATGAGTACTTACAAACTAACACTGTTACAGCAACGACAGGTGAGAAGACACAGGTTGGTGTCTTATGAGGGATGTCTTGTGACGGACGTGCTCGAATGCGAAAGATCTGGGCACGGAATAGAGTTATCTCATCAACGAGGTAAACGTGTAAAGTAGTGGATGGCACTGAGGATATCATTCACTGATGACAAGTACAGTATCGTGATCCCGTAATGGTACTGGTACCGTACGCTAATCCGCTATTTATTTCAAATGAGACCGGGACCGAGCGTGGGCGAGACGAGAACGAAAACCAAAAAGGACTTCGGAGCGAACATAACAACATAACAACATAACAACCCCAGCAGCCGAACTAAAGCCGATCCTATCCGTCCCTGATTACGGTCATGCCGTACACGTAACGGTAACACCACAAACAAGAGGCTTGGCAATTGGAATTTAAGTCAGCGGAAGCTGTGATACCTCGGCAGATAGACAGATGGAAGATCCTCTAGTTAGCTACCAGGTACTACAGTAGTACATGTATGTAGAGGCTAGGCGACAACACGTGATTTTGTTTTTTTATTGGTGGTGAGCGCTTTGTGACTGACTTTTTCTCAATCCCGAGTTTCAAAACGGAGTGATACGATACCTGGTACTACAGTGTACCGTATACCACCTCATTTGCTGTGAGCCATACCAGCTAAATACCGGTACCGGTAGACGCTGACTCATCTTACAGTCGTACTGTTGTTGCTGTCGTCGACAATTGGGCTTGTTGTTGCTGTCGTCGACAATTAATTTGGCTTGTTGTTGACTGGAACTGGACAACAGGCAACAACAAGAAGACCTCTGAGCTCTCACAACGTCTCAACCATGAGGAGACAAGAGCTAATACGATGGAATTGGAGGCATGGGCAAATCCGACGGTTCTAGGCAATAATATCCGATCTCTTGATTGGCTCTGACAACGACGTTGTCAGTACATGTATCCCAACCAACCAGCAGCAAATAATTACAGACAGTGCAGTAGCAGCAACACTAAAGGTAAGTTTGAATGTGCAGTTGACTGAGACCAGCATACGAGTATTAATGATCATATATTTCTCACTCTCCCATTGCATGGCATCCCAACGGTACCAGTATTCCATCCAACAAACCTACCGTACATAAGTCGATGGCCAGGCCTGGGAAGGTCAGCAAACTCGTCTTCAGAGCTAGCCTCCTGCTACCACTGACAGAAGAAGATCAACAATTATGTCTTAATGAGCGAGCAACAAAACAAAGCGACTTCTATTGACCATCGGCAGAGTGCTTGTGTGAGAAATACCCTTGGGACAGTCTCCATTACAAGTAGCCGTCGGCATTGACAGTAGCATCCAGTTGTCTTGGAAGACTTCCTAGTCTTCGTAATGCTCCTTGTTCGTCATGTGTGGGAAAATCATGGATGTCAATGCTGAAGCAAGTCAAGCAATCCATTGTCGACTCCACAACAAGATCCATTGAGAAAGAGAATGGTTCCTGGTTTGCCAGCAACAACCAGACACTACTATTACCGCTATGACGCGAATGCATATCATTCAAGAGACGCAGACAAGACAGTCAAGCAAAGACTGACCCTGACAAGAAGGCAAACTGAAGCGACCTGTTGTGACTTGTGGCTTTATCACATGTCTTTGTTCCCTCCAACGAATCAAGCGATCCCACCTTCATTGCTATCTATCCATCCAATGCCAATGCCATCTATTTTTGCCAGCATCTCGATCCGTTTTTGGTGCTATTGTTCCGCTCATGGGGTTGTTTGCAAGTCAGAGAAGGATCCCACACAACCTCGGACGAGGGAAACGCCAATCTCTTTGTTCCATACCATGAATCTCAATCTACCGATCATCCTTGGCCCAGCCGAAACACGAGGGGTCGTGGTACAGGATCGGTGGGAACCCAACCTTGGCAAAGCAGAATGCCTCCTCTCTGAATGAATACTTCCTCGTGCTGCGTCTTCAAGTTTGTCGGTGTTGCCCATCCTGGATACTGAAAGCAACGTACACGAACGGAATGGACGGACAGGACAGACAACATAGCGGGGTGCCGGGAAAGGCGGCCTTGGTCTTATGTTGCGGTTGCCTAGGATCATTCCTGCCGATGAAGAAAAGAGCTAGAGCTAATCACCGAAACAACAGTAGACGTTACTGACTAGTTAATGACTGCGGTACTCTGCAGTTCCAGTATGGTTATACGTACTACCGTAGCTCCACTGCCACCGTCCAAAGCAAAGCTGCCGGTAGCTGGCGAGATGTGACTGGATTACTCGTTTCTCAACTTGAAGGCCCAGAGGAGTTCGGTTTTGACGTGTTTGTATTTGCTGTCCCCTTCAAGAAGTCTAGAGGGCAGACGAGCTTCAAAGGCCTTGTCGACGCCGTTCTTGGTCGACAAGTCTTCTGTCAACAAGCGCATCGAATCCCTTGTGTGGTTGTTGTACAAATATTTTTTCACGCCATCCTCGGATTTCGAGACTTGGAATACAAGAGCGCGCCTTTCATAAAAAAACTTGCCATCGATCTCGTACTTTACACTGAGCACGTAAACCTGAATCCCAGGCTCTTCACAATTCAAGCAATTGAGCAATTTGGGCGTGTTTTCGCCATCCACAGGCAATCCCAAACGATCGCTCAAGAATTCCATCACATCCTTTTTCATGACCTGCTCCTTCGGGTTTTTGTAAAGCTCGTGGAAGTTCGATGGCTGCCTTTCGATTGCATCAGAAAAGCGCTGTCCACCAAGCACTTTGAACGCCCAATCGAGTTCATCAATTTGTACGTTGTCCGTTCTGGTTTTGGTTTTGGCCTTCTTGGTCTTATTGGTCTTATTGTAGTTTGATTTGGCTGCCTTGTCCTTGGGCATGATTTGGAGTACTTGGACAACCTTGATCTTCTTTACAAATCCAGCCTGTCGCTCTCCTTTGCAGAAATGCCCAATGATCATATTTTCCGCTGTTTCCACAGATTCGAGGTCAGAGGGTTGAATAATGATTGGACGAACTCGTGGAGAATTGTCGACGAGGATTCGTTTTCCTTTTTCCTCCACTCGCAGCTGTAGGCAGTGTCTGTCTGTAGCTACCACTTTGGTGTCATCTGGTTCGGAGGTCTTCGTGAAGGTGAGCTCCAACAGCAAGAGGTAGATTCCTTTCTGTTTGTTGCAAACAGCCCGAATATCCTGTGCTCCACTCGATATCGAAGTAAGGCCCAGTTTGTACACCAAGGACTTTACGTTGCCAATGCTTGGATCTCCACTGGAGTCGGCCGAGATTGGCATATGTTCTAATACATGTTCGTGTGTCAATGCTTTGAGCCTTGCCATGACTTCTGCCTCCAAAATGTTGCGATATGTCACAGCGAGCTGATCAGCCGTCATCATTGACATGTCTGCACCAAAAAAGTGTGAGGATCGCGATTATAGTGGAATTCATTGCAAATCGCATACTCACCTTGCACGCAACTCCTTGCGTTACCTATGTACCTCTCCACTCCGTCGTGATCTCTCTCGTAGTTCATGATCGGACATGAGATATACCCGCCGCAGCGACTGTCACTCAGCTGCGTAACAGCTGCCACAATGGACCGCTTTAGCTTGTTATACAACTCCGAGCCATCTGGCACGTATTGAAACGGCGTCAATCCATCCTTGCATGGTGCAAACAGGCATTCTGGGGTCAACTTGAGGAGCTCGTTGATCACTCCGTAACTACCTTTCTTGCAGGCAGTATGTAGGAGGGTGTTCCCATTGTCGTCGCGCACCCGTGCTGATGCTCCTTTCAGTTCGATGAGGATCTCCAGCTTGTCTCCGTGGGCACAAGAGATTTGCGAGAACTCTCTCGCCTGTTTGCCCGCGTAACAAGTGCAGCGTTGAGTTAATCGATGAAGGTAGGACTCTCCATTGTCGTTGCAAGCGTTGCAGTTGAGGGTCTCCAAATCAAGGTCGCGAATGTTTTCAGCCGAGCGAGAGCATATCTCTGCTGCTATGTCTGCAGAAAAAGCTGACTTCCGCTCCTCCTTCTTGTCTTCTTCGGAGTAACCATTCCAGTCTGTATCTGATGGTTCCGAGGGGAGCAAGGAGCAACGTTAGGAAAGGGGTGATGGCGGCATGTAAAGCAGAAATCTCAATCCTGTACTTACCGTTCCATGATATGTATCTATTTGGGTGCTTGCTAACTTCTTCATCAATCAATTTTTGCAAGCTATGCGTCTCTGATGAGCTTGCAACCATGTGGCTCTCATCCTTGCCATCATCGTCGTCTTTCTCCTTGCGAGACGTGTCGTGGCTGCCACTGTCTTCCTTGTCGCTGGACTCTGCTGCAGGCGTCTCAGCATCGTCTTTCTCCTCACTAGACTCGCTGGACTCTGCTGCAGGCATCTCAGCATCGTCTTTCTCCTCACTAGACTCGCTGGACTCTGCTGCAGGCATCTCAGCATCGTCTTTCTTCTCACTAGACTCGCTGGACTCTGCTGCAGGCATCTCAGCATCGTCTTTCTCCTCACTAGACTCGCTGGACTCGGCTGCAGGCATCTCAGCATCGTCTTTCTCCTCACTAGACTCGCTGGACTCGGCTGCAGGCATCTCAACCTCGAGACCTTCCAACTCTTCGCTGATCTTGCCGTGTTCTGCTGTTTTGTCGGAGCCATCATGATCTAAAGCGTCTTCACCACGTGGCTTCTTAGCGTCATCCTCATCGTCGTCAGTAGCTGATTTGTTGTTTTGTTCCTCCACTGGCTTGCCACTTGCTGTATCGTCTTCTTTTTCGCCGTCGTTATCATGCTCCGAAGAGTCTTCCTCGCGTGGCTTCGAAGTGCCATCCTCTACTTGTTCTTCCTTTTCTCCCCCATCCTTCCTCGGAAGAGCGGACATCTTTTTGGGTGCTGACTCCGTCTCGGCGGTATCCGATTGACTGTTTTGCTGTTCCTCGACAAGTTGTTTGGAAGCGTCATCCTCCGTACTAGCAGCTCCATCCTTGGATACTCCATCGATCTCATGGTCTTCTTGGGACTTGCTCTTGGTCAAATCATCAGCAAAAGTGACTGTCTTCGTACGTTTCCCATCTGCATCATCATTTCGAGTGCTCTTCGATGCTGCTGTGGGACTGGAATCTCCACCGATCTTACCGTCAATGTCACCACCTGGAAATGAATGATCTGGCCACTTTGGAGTGGACGTTCCTTTCTCCTCCTGCCCGAAGGCTGGCTTTTCCGAAGTTTGGCTTTCCGAAGTCTTGTTTCGAGGCGAGCTTTGCTTGGTGCCCCTTCGCTTCTCCCGAGGTGCCTCCTGGTGACCAGCGCCGCCATCATGGGCATCTTCATCTCCAGCGTTGTCCTCTTTTGCATTATCCACCGTAGCATCCTCCTCCGTCACGACAGCTGCATCTTCTTCCAAGGTCTTGCCTTCATGGTTGGCATCCTTAGCCGATGCATCCTCTTCATCTGATGCCGCCTTCTTCCCGTCGAATTCTGCAGATTCATTCTCGCCCTTGGCTGCTGCCTTGTCTTGTAATTCATCCTCTGGTATAGTTGCTGGCTTCTCCGGAGTACTGTCGTTGGGCTTCTCTTCCGAGGCCATTCTTTTGGGACTTCGAGCATCATCGTTCAATTCCGGAGTGCTGATGGCTGACTCGGACTTGCCGCTTTCTGCGTCGTCTTTTGAGGGCGACTTGTTGCTGGACAAAGCATCATAGTCGATATCTTTCAGTGGAGCGGATTGTCGCAACTGCTGCATCAAAACTTTTTGTTTCGCTTGCTGATTCCTGCGGGCCGTCGTTTGCATCAGTTCCTCCATCGTATTCTTGTGGACGGATTGGTTCAGAATTCGTTCCACCCCACTGGGCGAGGCATAGTCAATGGGATCGGATGAGCTCGGCCCCAAGAAGCTCATACTTAGCCCTGCCGAGCTAGCTGAGGATCGACGACCAGATTGCCAAGGGGAACCATCTGAAGGACTGGAGAAGCGAACGCTCTTCTTCTTCGCCGGTTTGCTGCTTGTGTTGGAGTTTCTGTCGTCGTCACCAGTGCTATCTTCACCGTGGTCAAGTTGTCCATCCTTGGAATCTCCACCGATCTCATGGTCTTCTTGGGACTTGCTATTGGTTGATGTGATCGATTCAGAAAGATTCAACGAATCAAAAGAATCGCCTTCTTTCCTGGTACCGGTACCCTCAACTGTTGCAACTGTTGGAGGAGGCAAATCAGCTGTCTTCGTACGTTTCCCATCTGTCGCAAAGGATTCGTCAACATCATTCTTTCGAGTGTTCTTGGATGCTGCTGTTGAAGCCTTGCGCTTTCGCTGCCACTCTTGCTGGTCAGCCCTTGCGGAACCAAAGGGAGGTGTGGGAGGTTTCGGAGTAGAAACAGGAGGCGATGACACCCGCAGAATTGGCGAAAGACCACCACCAAAGTCTCCTTTGAGCACATTTTGCCCTTTGTCTATGATGAGCGGAGACAATGCTTTGTTGTCTGAATCTTGGGAGTCTTCGGCAATGAATTTCGTACCCAGCACGCTGTCTAAGCTAATATCGCATTCCTTGCTGTCTTGGCTTTTCTCGGCGGAGGATGGAGATGAAAGATACCCAGATCCTCTCGATCCGCCAACTCCACCTGCTGCTGCCGCTGCTGTTGCTGGTGGTGGTGGCGGTGGCACTGCAGTTGCGGTTGGTGTTGCCGCTGGTGTTGCTGGTGTTGGTGCTGCAATTGCTGTTGCCATTGCTGCTGTTGGTGCCGTTGCCGTTGAGGTTGCAGTTGGTGCCGTTGCCATTGAGGTTGACGTTGCAGTTGGTGCTCCTGCTGTTGGTGTTGCCGTGGTGGTTGATGCTGGTGGCGCTGCTGTGGTTGCTGGTGGCGCTGCTTTGGTTGCTGCCGTTGCCGTTGCAGTTGCCTTTGCAGTTGGTGCAGCCGGTGGCGTTGCTGCTGGTGTTGGCGCTGGTGCGGCTGGTGGTTTGGGTGATGATGTTGCTGCTGGTGTTGCTCCTAGTGTTGCTGCTGGTGGTGCTGGCACTGGAAAAGGATCAGGGTTCGATGCTGCGACTGCTGCGGCTCTTGCTCCTTCTCCTGTCGGGGGAGGAAACTTGAGGGGACTCTTTTTTTTAACTGCTCGCGATTGTCGACGTCGTGCTGCTGCTGCTGCTGGTCGTGCTGGTGCCACTCTGCATCTTTTGGTTGCTCGTTGGTCCACGCTTTCGGTGGTCGTCTCATTGGCTTTTCGCTTCAGATTGCTAGCAGAAATGTCAGCACTATTAGCACCATCATCTTCTTTGTCCTCGGCGTCCTCTGCTTCTCCTTCGTCGTCAATTTCCATTGAGGAAGCGTCATTGTCTTCAATTGAGGAAGCGTCATTGTCTTCTTCGACTTGATTGCGAGCGCTGGCATCGTCTTCTCCGGCAGTACCATCATCATTGTCTTGGTTCTCGTCGCCGTCAACCTGCATCAAAGACGTCTCGTCGCTTCCTTCTTCTACTTGATGGTGACCGTGGTCATCTTCTCCGGCAGCTCTACTAGCTCTAGGCAATGGTGGCGACAATCCTCCTTCTGGTACTATTAGCACACGATCGCTGTCGTCGCATCCATTGTCACTTGTGGCCGACTTGAAACTCTCAGTGGAAGAGTTCAAATTTTCCCTGGCCGTGGCGAAGCTCTTGTCGCTCGAATCCGAGCTGCTGGATTCATCCATACTGGTGCTGCTTGTAGAAAGGCACCCCTTGTGTTGTTGCTGTTCAGACTGTCACTCGTTGTGCAAAGTCGTCTCGTCTGGTCTCGAATCGGTTGTGTTGTTGTTGTTGTTGTTGAATCGAATCGGTTGTGTTGTTGTTCAGACGTTGAAACCTCTTCTGAGAAAAAGACAAAAAATGGCGGAGAACTCTCCGAGCGAGCTCAAACGGCTGTTTTCAGTCATGGAAAAAATCGAGCGCGGGACTAGATCAATCCCACAAGATGCATTGATGACCTTGCAATCAGAGAAGATGTAAGAGGGCGGAAGGAAGGATGGCAGCTCCAGGTAGTCCCAATCGGCGCGAGTAATTCTTCTTTCATCCAAGAAGTGAAGTGCTGCATTCGGTCAGGTCACACATCAAACCGAATCGATGTTGGTGCAAGAGAAGGGAAGGACGGGAATGATCGCTCGCGGAACCAAGTGGTCGATTACGGAGGAGATTGGTTCGTTTAAGGCATGACATCGTCGAGAAAAAGATCAGTCTGTCCACCTTGTTCGATTCGCAAAGCAGCAGTCTCTGATACCCACATGCAGGACGAGAGCGGCTATCTTGGTTGGTTTCAAAGAAGAAAAGATCGGCATTGTCCTGTTGTTCGTCCGAACCGTCAAACTGCAATCTCAAACTGATATCATTGAGAAGGTACTGGCGATGATTGGTAAACCAAAGGGCATCCAAGTGCGAGATTGGGTAAATTCGTTGCAACTTGGAGCACAAGACAAAAGAAAGTGTAGATACAGGAAGAAGATCACGGAAAATCCACCAACCATGCGTGTCCAAGAACACGCAGAGTAGTAGATTGAATCATTCGTTGCTTCACGGGAGAATTTGCATTCGCTGGAGGAGGCAGGAGATGAGAGCGGGGCTGTTGATGGGGCTCCAAACACGAAGAGTAGTAGATTGAATCATTCGTTGCTTCACGGGAGAACTTGCATTCCCTGGAGGAGGCAGGAGACAGGAGACAAGAGCGGGCTGTTGATGGGGCTCCAAACATGAAGAGTAGTAGATTGAATCATTCGTTGCTTCACGGGAGAACTTTGCATTCCCTGGAGGAGGCAGGAGACAGGAGACAAGAGCGGGGCTGTTGATGGGGATTTTCTGTGGCGGCCCGTTTTAAAGGTAGGATGGTGATAGCTCCCAAAGACCTCCAAGGTTTCCAGTCGAAGGAAACTTCCTACCGGTAGAGACAAGCTGCACGGACATGCGATAACATCCAATCTTGCTCGGCTCCAACATGAGAATAAAGACACGGACCGGAATGGGAGCCACTGAATATCACTCGACCCAACCCAAAGAAAGATACATGCTGTACAGAGAGAGCGACCAATGCAAGTGCAATCGGGCAGAAAACAGGAGATCCAAAGCAGGAGAGCCAACATGTAGTCAAGAATGCGTAGACCCACTGAATGTACCACTCCACCAACCCAAAGACGATCGCCGTGTTGAGTGGATCCACAAGACAGAGAGAGGGCAACATGCTGAAGACACACCGGACACAACCGCAGGCAGAACCGACAGATAACCGAAATCCGGCAACTGATCCCAGAATAAAGAGCGGAGAGATACTGGTAGGGACAAGAGACCAAGAAGGGAAGCTCTACCAAGCTATGAACTCCTTACACCAACAAGGGATACCGTAGCCAGCCAACCGGAAGAAAGGACCACCCAAACTCCAAAAAGAATATCACGCATCCACCGACCAGCCAGGAAGGTAACCGAAGGAAATCGCCACAAATCTTGATAGGGAAGATACGTTGCTGGGGATTTCTTCTTAGCATCGACTGACAATACGGAGAAAAGGCTTGGGTTGTGTGATGACTTGAACCGGGCCGACTTGATGATGAAGGGACGTCTCTGACAGGACGTGTGAATCTTGAATTATCAGTGATCGACTTGATGAATGGAATGGGATGGGATAATGAAGGCTTGGCATGATGACTTGAACCGGACCGACTTGATGATGAATCGACGTCACTGACAGGACATGTGAATCTTGAATTATCATTGTGATCGACTTGATGAATGGGATGGGATAATGAAGACTTTGGGTTGCATGATGACTTGAACTGGGCCGACTTGACGATGAATTGACATCTCTGACAGGATGTGTGAATCTTGATGCGTCCGACTTGATGAATGCGATAATGAAGGCTTGGGACTTGGATGACTTGTACCGGGCAAACGGACGACGCCAACATCATGGTCAAACAATGGTCAAACAGAAGAACAAACAGCGAGCAAATGGACACTACAGCACTCGTTGCACGGCTCGACATGGGGAACAGATGATCACAGGGGCAAATGGACGACGCCGACCTCATGGTCAAACAATGGGCAAACAGAAGAACAAGCAAGGCCATACCTGGAATGCGAGACTATTCACACGAGACATCAGACAGTGCCAACATTACCTTGTCGAAAACCCAACGAAAGCTCCCCACATCCGCAAACCACATGAGCAACTATTGTAGGAGTTAGTACTGGTAGTGTAGAATTACCGAGCACGAGCGAGGACGAACCGAAGGAAGAAGGAAGAGAGCCATCAGCATGAACTGTTCACAAACCTCAATTGGCTATTTTGGACGCAGACACAAGACCTTTGGCAACTCTTTTTGTGAGCATGAGATCAACAAGCTTTTGGAAGAAGGAGGTAAACCCACCAAAACCAAAAGCTTCGCCAAAACATCAAAATTGAAATTGAAATTGAAATGCGAGGTGTTTTTTTTGAAAGGGTGCGAAAAAAGCTTTCCGAAAACGTTCCGCCCTTGTTCCGTTTCGCTGTTTTGAAATCAAATTTTCTTTTTGATCCCTAAGCAATCTTTGACGACTGACGGTATGGTACTCTCCATACTTAGAACTGTTTTTTAATGGTTCTTTTTTGAAAGGGCGAAACGAAGCTTTCAAAACGTTCCGTCCCTTTTTCCGTTTCGCTGTTTTGAAATCAAACTTTCTTTTTGATCCCTAAGCATCTTGACTACAAGTACCGTACTATGATACTGTCGTAGTACCTGGTATGCATTTTTAATTAAAATGAATACAAATTCCAAACTGTTCTCATTCCAGCTCTATTTAAAATCACAGAAACGTGCCATACACGTACGATTTTGATTTTGAAGCAAAGAAACGTCAGCACAGATAGCTTCCGTCAAAGCTGGATGTGACGTCGTTCGCACCAAAGTAATGGCGTTTGAAATTGAATTGATGTTCTGTGGTGTGTGTCATACATGTACAGTAGGTACCAGAAAAGACAGGGTGGTAAGTCGTACCGGTACTGGAGTTAGTGATGTTTCTGTCTTAGCTACTGGCGCTGCCCGCTTGATATGACATGCGTTTACTGGTCTAGGAACGCAATGACGCAATGATGCTAACACAGGTGCAGTCAGCAAAGAATCGAATCGAATGATTGAATCGAATGCTTTTTGATTGGGTGACTCAGTCCCCTCCATGAATCATCCTGCTACCTCATTTTTTCGCCTGACTGGACTCGACTTGACTATGCCATAATACTACGGTGGCCTCATCTCCCATCAACCAAACGATAGACAGGTTCACATAAAACAAGAAAAGCTCCTCTTATTTCAATCTCTCAATCCAATATGAGAAGCTACCCCCTTTCTACCCTATTACTGGTGCTGCTACTCGCATCGCTGGCTGATGGTACATCCTTTTGGAGCTCCATTCGCGGAGGTGGATCGGTGGCAACCAGGTCTCGTTCACCACCTCTCGTCATCGCAGAAGATCAAAGACGGAGAGCGACGTCCAACAATGAAATTGTGTCAACCAAACTGGAACGTGTTGTTAAGGGCTTCCAGAAAGTGGTTCCCCGAAAAGACATTCATGTTGGCAAGCTCCTGGCTGCGTTCAAACAAATGCAGGCATTCTTGCAAGACACTGGAATGAACCAAGCGGCAAATACCTTGTCCACGAACATTGCCAAGATAGAAGATTCACACCGACGAGCACCAGCACACGAACGTGAAAACCTATCAGCTCTTCTACGTTATGAAATTGATTCTGGAGTTCATCAATCCCGGGGCCTGGCAGAGAACAGCGCCGCCATGGGAGTGGTGTGGCTTTGTCGAAACCTAAGCTATCAACGTTCCATGTATCAGCTCATGTTGGAAGCAAACAAGACGCCACTGGAAGCGGCACAACTGGCATTTCAAAAGGAGTTGCGTCCCCACCTCCACTGGACCGTCGCGAACGTTCTATTGGCGGCCATCAAGAGCCTTACGCCTGCCAACCATTCAGCCTTTTTCTCCAAGATTGGAGGCTTCCCGGAAAAGAGCTATGGTCCTGACGAAGAAAGAGCTACGCGTCGAGATGTCCAGCGAATGATCGATCTTTGGCAGCCGATTCTGACGCACCTTGGACAGGTGTTTCATGACTTGGAACTGCAGGGGCGGCTGTGACGCTATTTGATTGGATCCGTCTCCAGTAGGACTTGTACATACCAAAACGACGAACTTCGAAAAACTGTAACATAAAATGTGAAAGCAAACTTTAGTGCATATTACGGTGTTGCAATCGATGCTCACTATGTAGTAGTAAAATTGGCACGAAAGACACGTAAGGCACCGGTGCAGGCGGAAACACAATGTTCCTGGTATGTCTGATGTGATGAAAAGTGGATGTTTTGGGTCTGAACATCTGCAGGAGACTACCATCCAGATAGTTTAGTGAAGCGTTCCTAGCAGCTAGCTACTGTACCAAAGGGTTGCCACGACCTTGACTATAGAAGAGTTTGACTGCATTGCGTCTTTTCCTCCAACCACTGAACTCCGACAAAGTATTCTGAGTATCCCAACCACTCATACATGGTACACCCTGTACACCCTGCAAATGTTGTTTGGTTCAACGTTGCAGTAGGATACCTCGAACAGCTTCCACCTCGGCCAGTGCTTCCCAGACAGCATTGGGCACCTTCGTCTTTGTTGCATTGGCTCCTCCATTCTGAAAGGAGTTCACGGCTTGAAACTGCTGCTGCTGGTCGGGTGCTCGGGCAACGGACATGACGAAGTCTTGCAGTACAGCACAGCTGTTTCCCAATCGGAATGCCAAAAGCTGGTTTTCTTGTTGCTGTTGCTGATTCGGATTGCTGTTGTTGGAGATTGCCTGCTGCTGAGTGGGTTGTTGGTGATGAGGCAGATTTAGAGCCGACATGGGAGCAGCATTTGTGCCGTTCATTCCAGTTCCTTGAACCGCTCCAAATGGGGAGCTGGTTGAAGCTGTAGAGTATCCCTGTTGATGCAGGCGCTGGGGTTGCCGAGGCTGCATGGGATGAGGTTGCTGTGACAAGCCATACTGTGGAGGTTGCGGATTCAGTGGCGTTTGCCTGACCTTGTATTCGCCAATGCTGTCATCACCGAACATTGCTGTGTTGACCACCCTCCCATTGTCTGAATAAAGGTGTTGTTCCTGAGGTTGTTGACCAGGCAATGGTTGTGGTTTCAATCCGTTCCAACCCTCCTCCAACTTCTTCCTCCACGTATCACTGCTCGAAGACAGCCGTTCCACACCCTGTTCTAGACTCTGCTTTACAGCTTGCAAATTAAACAAATCGCCACCGATCTTGCCAAGAGCTTGATTCCCTTGGGGTGGCTGTTGATAGTGATGCTGCTGTTGTTGATAGTGATGGCGCGAATGACGATGTTGATGCATATTATGAGGTTGCTGTTTACCAGCCGACGTAGCATCAACACCTCCCATGGTACCCAGTTCGGGGTGCATTTGCTGGTACTTTTGCATATCCAATAGTAGATTGAGCTGCTTCACCAAGGGCTCCATATTGTTGAGAGGAGGCATATTCATGAGTGAGTCCATGACCCGATGATGATGGGCCTCAGGACTGACATCGGGCTTGAGCAATTCATCCTGGCACATCAAGATACGGCTGGCCGCCGTGGTCTCCAACAGCGCCATCCATTCCCATCTTGAACCATTTAACGAACGAGGAGATGAGGCTAACGGTTGCAAGAAGAACCAACAATCCAATTCTCCTCTCGAACTTACCCCTCCGACACCAGTTCAACAAAGACATCCCAAAGAATAATCACATTAGAGGCGCCCACGACCTCTCTAGAGTACAAGAGCCGGATCCACTTAGTGCAGTACCTGTATTATCGGGAAATTTGGCGCAGTTAGGGAATCTCAGCGGAAGCTCAAACCAAAGGAACCGAGGAAACCGGTCAAACAGGTATGACTTACAACTGGGGTGGTACCGACAGAGATTTCAACAGGGGGCATAGTCGGTCGGGGCGTCCCTGGTGCTGATAGTATTGTTGAATTTTGGACAATATAGAATGTGACATGTCCTCTAGCGGCCGTGAATTGGAAGCCACCTTGACATCAAAGGCCTGTCGGACATGCCCGAGAATGGATCGGAGCATGGTGTAGGCAGCCGGTCTGTCAAAGACTAGCGCCAGAAGCTCAGATTGATCCCCAGGGCCACTGAAAAGCATTTGCCGTTGTCGATCAATGACTAGGACCAGCCATAGATAGGATGCAACTTCATGCATCCCCTGTCTGTATCCAATGTGAGGGTTCTCTTGTGAGAAAATGTACAGCATCTCTCGTAGTGCCTCAATCCATGCTTGCTGCTGTTCAGGTGTATCCCAAGTCGTGGTAATGCTGAAACCCCCTTCTACAACCTCCGTGACAGAGGGTTTCGGTAATCGATGAAGATCCTTGTCAATGATACTGAGCTGTGGCAAATGAATCGAAAATGCAGTCAGTTTGGCAGTCTGACTTGGTTCAATCCACTCCACATCAACCCGATGAACCAAAATTGTTTCCATGTACGTACCGCCTCTCGATCTAATTTCTTTGCTCCATCTGCATCGACGTCGTCTTCTATTACCTTGCCCCCTGGATCCGAGAGTCCTCGGTTCCGCCGTGCTTTTTCCTTTCGATAGGCCAGATCCAGTTCTTGTCTTCGAACTTCCTGCGCTTGCTGCTCCATCATCATTGCCGTCAGAGGATCAAAAAAATCCAAAGAAGAATCTGGAGCCGTAGGTGGGGGTTTGTTCGCTTCGGGTGTCTCAATAGGGTCATCACCAGTGGTTTTGGTGGAATTAGCAGCAGGAGCGATCGGAGCGTCCGTTTCGTTCAAATGAGGTGTGTACAATTCTTTCAGCCGTGCATAGTTGGACACTTCTTCCTGTAACAACTGATTGTTGAATTGAATAACATCTTCCAATTGCAAAATTGCCGTGTTCTGACTGGGAGACTTGATCAAACCCAACAACAAGCGCCAAGTCACGGACCGTGGCAGCTTCGAGAAGTTCGCCTTGACGGAAACATCAAACTGAGAAGGACCCGCTGTATCTGAAGGCTGAGCCATCGGATGATGAGCTTGTGGCAGCGCTGAAGACGCCATTATTATGGATCACCAATATCCTCAACTGATGTCCGGATAGAACTGAAGAAAGGACCACTAGACACAAAAAAAAGATTTTCCGCCTTCCGACACCGGAAAAGGACTGTGAGCGTCACTCCTGAAACTCTTTCAAGCGAGCTCTTTCTGTAGATCTCAGTATCGCAGTCTCCCTACTAGCTAGGGCACTGATCCTATCACCTCGTAATAGCTAGAATATTAGACTGAATCTTCCGCCAAAGAGCCGCCGAAGATTGATGGCCATGGTCCAAGATTGCGTCTCCGTGGAGTAGAAACGTGCATTAGGGTTCAAGGTTTTTGCAAACCTCACTCAGAAGAATGCTGTATCAGGTAAGGACGGCGGTGCAGAAGCAAATACAGGGTTGAAGTGGGTGGTGTGCCTCTCTAATCCTCAAGAGCTTCATCGTTTATGGTACGCTCATCTTAGTTAGAATGATTCATTCAATCTATCTAGAAATTCAGCCCAAAAGGCGAGCTGCAAAGGGGCTGCTGCTACATCCAGTAGCAACATGTCCTACCGGTACCGGTACACCATCCTTGTTCATCGGTCACGGTTCAGTCTTCGGAGCCGCCCTGCTGTTCTGCATTGTCACGAATGGCAAATTCGACCTTGTCATGACATCGACAAACCTGGAACTCACGGTCACATATCGTACGTACAAGTACCTTTCTGGCAAACTGAGCAAGCCGTGGAAAACTTGGTGCATTGAGGACAAGTCGCTCACGTTCTGGAACGAGGTATACCCTCTTTGCAGACAATCAATGTCGTTGTAGTGACAAGCATGCCACTCCGAAGGGAAGCAATGTCGAAGACAGTGCAGCAGCCCACACACCTGACAAGTGCAAAACTTTCGCGGACCATCTTGGCTGGGCTTGCCATACCAGTGGACGTCGCGAGCGCAAACAGAAGAACATTTTGCAGGTTCCCGGCAATTGAAGCAATAGTATGTAGTTCTCACACTCATGACAATTGAAACCATCCTTGCATTCCTCCGGCCATGGGTTGACGCACCGCCAGCATCCGAGGTCAATGCGGCAACTAGCACACTTCCGAGGTCCCATGCAAGGAAACCCAAAACACTTCATACAGCTATCTCAACCAATGCTGGGCTTGCAGCTACAGGAATGCCTTCCGCAAGGTTTGAAGACTCTTTGATTCTGGGTATGCAGAGACAGCAAGCCTTGTTTGGGCAGCGCATCCCAATCGTCCTCGTTCTAGCTTGCATCGTTCGCAGAATACTTCCTTGCAGCGATTGCACTGTAACCCCAATTTAGAGATACAGCGCACACAGCTAACGCCACTGAGACAATCAGCGCCGCGACCAGCGAACTCTTTCTCTTTGTGCTTGAAGTGAGCAGCACAGGACAATGCATTGCACGTGTAGAAGGCTTTTTCATCACCATCGCCATCATCATCATCAAAGCAGGGCTCACAAAAAAATTGGTTCAGACAGCTGTCTGAACAGAAGATTGAAGTCTAGGAATGTTGCATATGGAGCACCGGATTTGACCCTCCGCACTCTATCATTTTCGGCTTCTTACTGGCAACGTCATTGGTGTCGTCAATGGCGGCCACTTCTAGTTCAAGCCCTTTTCGAAGATCCTCTTGGCACTCAAGAATACTTCCGGGGGGTTTAGAGTCGGTGGGTTATCTACGGAAGCCAGCGAGGGCATGCTCAAGAGGACAAGGTTCATTTGGTGTACCGGTATGATTGCAAGGCAACCTCATTATGACGCTACCGGTAGCTACTATTCAACGACTGCATTCTTCCCCTTTGAAAAATCCTCTCGCTGTGTCTCTATATCTTTAGGATTGTTCGCACCGCTGCCTTCTTAGAACGGAGACATCAAGTTGGGGCTGCTGTAGTGTAGAAGGTTTGACTTGTCGCTCCCACTTTCAAAGCCGCTGCTTCCATCTTTGTGATGATTCTTATGAAGACCGCCACGGCCGCCATTATGTCGACGAATGCGCGAACCTGTAACGAAGGAGGATTGGCGAATCATGGATTCTCGGAATCCTCGACCGGGCAAACTGGGCTTGAAGCCTCCTGCTCCAAATCTAGAGTCCTCGTCCATACTTTTGCTTCGACCGATTGGATTCTTGGCCTTGTGAGCAGGGCGGGTGGGCGAGAACGACGAGGAAAGTCCTGCTGAACCAAGTAGTTCGCCCCGACGAGGCGACATCTGTCGTCGGAAACGATCTCGACGAGACGACCCTTGGCTGACAAGACCGGGCCTATCGCCAGCGTTGCGACTCCACGTTGTTTCTTGGTTCGTACCACGACTCCAGTTCGTCACGGATCCCATCATATTTTTGGGTGCATCTCGAATGGAATTTGTCATTGTATCCATCATATTCTTGGGCGCATCTCGCAGGGAAGACATGAGATTCGAGGATGAAATGGACTTGAACTTGGATCCTGGCATGGCCATGGACATTAGCTTCGATGAAGATGATGCTTTCTTGATTGTCTTGGCACTTTGTTGTGGGTCTTGCATCTGCCTTTCGGACTTCATTTTGGCCAAGAGTGCGGCATTTCGTCGGGGAGTTGGAGACACAGATCGAGCAGATTGAGCTTTTTTGAGCTGTTCTCGCTTTGTGAACCGGTCGTATTCCGAACCGAGCATATCGCACGAGAGCTGTCGCCCTTTCGCCCCTGAGCGTGCTCGCGAAATCTCAGTGGCGTTGCTGTTGGTAGAGTCCCGCAGATCTGCATTCACCAGATCCCTGTTACTCGCTTGCTTCCGATGCTTTTTGAATGACGAATTTTGTTTGATCAATTGATCCCTTCTTTGTTTCTTCATCTCTTCGTCGTCCAAACCCATACTGGAATCGCTGGAATTGCACCTCGAGATGGAATTGCTCGAGCCATTCATTAGACCCACTCCCGATGGCTGTTTTCGAAAGGCAAAACGCAAGTTGAATTCGCCACTGCTGTTGCTATCATTGCCGTTGTTCAAAAAAACATTCCGATTGCGATCACTGGTGAAACTGCGATTCATCTTGTCTTCGTCGTTGCTTCGGGTGCGCCTCAAGTGAGTTGTGGAACGGTTGAGGCGATCTCCTCCACCCGAATGATGACGTCGTAGATTGTTGGCAGACTGCCGAGATGGCAACGGATCATCCCCAGTCGTACGATACCGTCGGAGATTGGTAGAAGCTGGGGGCGGTGGAAGGGGTCCCGGTTCACTAGCACGCTTCTCTTCCTCGTGAATTTCGTCCACGGAAATTGATGCGTCATCGTCGGCATCATTCTCTTCTTGTTGCTGTTGTTGCAGCAAATCTGGAACGTCCTCATTCTTTGCACTACTACTATTTGCAGAAGATCGAGACCTGCCACCTCTCTTGTTGTTGCTCGAAGAATCATCCAGCGGCGATCGTGCTGGTTGCATCGATTTGGGCAAAAAAAGGAGATCCTCTTCCTCATCGTCGTCCTCGTCTTCTTTGATTCCTAGTGCTGTAGACGCTGCTGCCTTGTTTGACACTCTCATTTTTCTGGAAGCAGCCGACGAACGTTGCTTGTTGTTTCCAGTAGTAGGCGAAGCACCCGAGTTTCGTTGCTTCGTGGGGGAAGACGCCAACGTTCGCGGCTTGGTCGGGGAAGATCCAGGAGTATTATTGGATTGCTGTTGCTGTTGTGATCGTCGAGAATGGTTCTTTTCCATTTCATTATTATTATTACTCACGACCGACGACATGTCCGACATGGGTTCCCAATGAGACGAGAAGGAAGAAGACAGCGAATTGTCAAAATCTCCATCCCACGACGGCAACCCCGCCAGTGATCCCTTCAAATGATGACTCCCATTTCTTTTATTCTTGTCCCCTGACGTTCTGCGAAACGACAAGCTCCCAACACTGGCGACGCTGACATCATCACCGACGGAAGCATCCATGTTGCTATTGTGACTGCCATTTCGTTGTTGTTGAAGTTGCTGGTCCTCGTCCTCATCATGACTGTCGTCTTTCAAATAAGAAGCGTTGGAAAGGACACTGACATTGCTGTCTCTTGGTTGTTGTTGCTCCAATGACACTAGTTTGGGTGGAACCACCAACGTGTTGGCCAATGCAGACATGCTGCGATAGAGTCGTTCTTGATTCAATGGCTGCACGTGATTGGGCATTTGAGCTTCCTTGTCCAAGCGTGAAAAGAAATCATCGGCGGGTTGTTCTTCTTCTTGTGGTTCTTGTTGTCGACGCCGGCTGTTGCCGTCATTACTACTACTATTATCCATGCGACTGCTACTCCCAAAGACATCTCCCAATCGCATGGATTCGTCGTCCATGAGCGCTGGCGATGTAGCCAATCCATTTTTCCTTTGTTGGGGACTAATCATGATCGATTTTTTGCGTTGTTCTGCCAGTTTGGGACTGACATTCTTTCTCTTGGGAGACAGGGAAGCTCTTCGGGCAATGGCAATGGTCTGATGATTGTGTTGCTGCCTTCCACGTTGATCATTGTCATCATCATAACTATTATTCCCACCAAAGGAGGGTGTAAATTCAAACTCTGTCCCTTGTAAATGACTGGAACTGGTTCCCAATGGTTTGGTCAAGAATGACTTGCGTAGGAGATTGGAGCAGCTACTGCTCTCTTGCTGTTGTGGCTGCTGATGTTGTATTCGTCGTCTCCCTCTTCGGGTATTCGAAGACGCATGCTGTGAAGCAATCGATTGACGGGTTTTCTCTTCTTCTTTTTCCCAGTCCAACGTGGAATTTAATACGTGCCAATCTACCACTTCTCGTGCACTTTGCGATCGTGACATGCCCGTGGTATTGTGGCGATTCAACACTCCTCTGGGAATATTAGTGGGGCCAGCTTTACTGGTAGTGCCCGTGGTATTGTGGCGATTCAAAGCACCCCGTGGAATGTTGTTGGGACCAGCAGTAGCCGAACTGGCAGTAGCCACTAAATTTCGATCGGAATTGGGACGATCATGGTACGAGTGTGCTGTGGCAAAGGAGCCTCGGTTGTCTGGCAGTTGGTCCAACGACTTGGTCCTCGGGGGTAGCAGGGTCCGCTCCGATTGGGTTTGTCGTCCCTGCGTCAAATTGGCTCGTTTCTTGGAATAATCGACAAGCAGACGGCGTGGTTTGGGTTTCGTGTTTGTAGCAGTAGTATGATGAATGGGAGCGGTTTGATTGCGCCTCATTGTCGCAGCAGCAGCAGTAGGAGGACCTGTATGGCTCGTCTTGGGGGGTACAGGGGCCGTCTGTGTTCGTTTCATGCCGCGGTAGCTACCCTGCAGTTGCTGTGAGGATCCCATGGTTATTTGTCGTCGATTAATGGGAGATAACGAACGTTGGCTACCCCCGGGGTTGTGAACCATTCGGCTGCTGCTGCTGCTGCTGCTATTGTTGTTGCCTGATGCTGTTCTCGGTAATATGCGATCACCCCGGGAATTTCGGGTCTGCTGCGCCGAGGTTAGGTATGACCCAGAAGCCATGATGATTGATTGCCTGGTCCCTCCTTGAGCCCCTTGCTGTTGATGACTAGCTTGCTGGATTCACGTACTGTGTTGTGGATGGATGGATGCCAATAGCAAAGATGCAAGATAGATAATGGCAGTCCTCAGTGCTGCTTTCCCGGACGGATTGAAGGTCCTGTGTTTGTGGTATGTATGTGCAAGCTTAACCAGCAGCTTTGTGTGTCCGATCAGCAAGATGGTACTGGTGAGACTGCTTTCTCTCTCTCTCTTCCTTATCCTCTATTGTAGCTGTGATTGGTCACTCTGCTCGCAAGGCTTCAGTGCTTTCTCTTGTGTCCCTTAGGTTTACGGTAAGTATTAGTACCAGTAGCTTGACAGTTGACGCTACGACTGTATGACGATCAAAGATCGTTTGGTGGCAGGCTGCAACTCTGGTTCCGAGAGCGCTAAAAGCCGCCAATGCCGAGATCAGAGTAGAAGTCGTGCAAAAGAGACAGTCATAACCATTGAATGTTTATCCTTGTTCGCTGTTGCTGCAGTCGTCTAAAAGATTTAATTGCTCTGCTACCTGACACCAAAATAGAGTCATAATGGTACAATACTACTGTATACCGTAGCCCCTCGCTCTTGGAGAAAAAGAAAGGCTTTTAGATTTTTAAAAGAGATGCATGTGGTAAATACACGAAGCAAAGCCTGTGACAGCCGGTCAATTTGCTTTCACATCATGTATGTTTGAGTCTTTTTTCTTTTTGTACTTGCTCATCTCACCAGGATCACTTTCACTGCTCGCTAGCTACGAAACCTATCTACATGTAGCTAGCTACCGTAGTAGAGCTTGTGATTGTGCTTCATCTTCACTGAAAAGGGGGAAACTACTTCAGTCACAGGAGAAAGCAGCCTTATGAAGTACTGGTACCTGATTGAGCTAGTTAATTTTAAAGTTCTGCTAGCTAGAGCTCATCTATCTATCTTTAGTCCAAGTCATAGATCCTGGCTTCGTAGGGTGGCAATTCGGCAATGGTGGCGCGGGCAACGGGTGTCGCCTCTGGGACGTTGATTTCCTCTTCAAACGGGGCACTGGGGGTGGGGCGTACCTCGTTGGTACCAGTAGTAGGACTGGAGGGAGCTTCATCAAAAGGACCCATCTCAATCTCAGGCTCATCATCATCGTCTGCAGGCATCTCACGCTCACCTGTGGGCTCCACCTCACGCTCACGCTCGGCAGTCGGCATGGTATCACTCTCCTGCTCAGCAACAACATTTCGACGGCTGAAAATATCATTACTGTTCTCCGCGACGGTCTCCTCGTTGGAGGTAGGTGCTGTTTCTGGTGCACCAGAATCCTCGGAAGGAGTCACGTGGATTTCGGGTTGAGTGTGGTTGACAACTCCCTTTCGGGTAGCAATCTTTCTCTCCAGCTTTTCCTTATTCAACGCAATGTGCTCTTGGCAGGCATTCAACTGGGCTACGAGTTGACTGATCTCGGTAGCGGCCTTGTCGGCGCAAGCTTGTAGTTCCTCTGGAGACGCATCCTTCTCCAGCATAAGATCCATGTACTCCATCCCAAAGGACTTCTTGCGAGCCGCAATACTCAGCTGGAGCTGCTGGATTTTGATTCCTTCCTGTGTGTTTTTGGAGGCATAAGCCGTACGCGACTTGCAATTGCGCATGACGGTCTTGACCTGTTGCCAAGTTCCTGACTTTTGTCCCTGCTGGTTGGCATTACTTGGGCTGTTCTCGTTGCTTGTGATGCTCATGATTACTGATTGTTGTTTGCTTTTGAAGATGCTTGTGTTGATTTTTGTGGGCCTATTTGGTGCTCAAGAGAAAGGCCCTCCGGTGGTACCATACCGTATCTATCTATCGTACGAACCTGAGAATCTTCATTCGTGCCGTTTAGTTTGGTTGTCACGGGAGTCAACGAGTGACTCGTGGCCTGTTGCGGGAATAATCCAGTTAGTCAATCGAACGATCAATTGAGTCGAGTCGAGTCACACTTGCCGACAATCCGCACTCACACTAGCTAGAGTAGACTACCAAGAGGCCTGTGCCGCAACTGTGGCTCGGCCACCAGCTACCGGTTTGTCATGTCATAGCCAGGCAGTATGACAATGCTTTGAACCAGGTTCATTCTTTTGCGAGCACAATGCACCTGGTTTTATTAAAAGTAGTATCGTGCAGCTTCGAAATTTCTTTTTTAGAGGAAGCTAGTGGAGAGCCAAGCTCATACGAGGGAATTCGTCAGGTGGAGACGCCAAACTTATGCAAGATCCAACGAATTCAGAGGAGAGGAGGCCCTGACCAATGTGTTTTGAGCAAACCGTGAGAAACATTAATGTATCGAAGTTGTTTTGCCTTGGATTATTATTCAATGCTTTGAGTTACATGTAATGTGCCCATTCCTCTAAAGTTAATTGCTAGATTGCATCCACTTTGTAGTTTCTAATCGAATGCCCTCACGTCAATGTGCATGAAGTTTTCAGCGTGCTTTCCATGCTTGAGATTATCAATGGTTGCCATTTCTTCTTGAGACAGTTCAA